TGAGCGGTAGGACACCCCGCCTAGCATGCAGGAGACCTTGGGCTTAATCCCCAGTAGAAGGCAGAGGGAGGGCTGTCATAAATTCTCAACAGCCCTTCCTGCCCGTCAGCCTTGTGAGAATGCTGATGACGGATGATTTGCCGCAAGCAAATGCTTTTGTCCTGCACTGTAGCAGTGGCCGTCCTGAAGCTGGCCCCTCTCCTTCCAGACCGCCCTGTTTCCGGTTTGCTCTGGTCTTGCCCAAGGCCACATGCAGTCCCCTGCTGATCATCCACAAAGTCCCATAGTCAGCTCGGCATGGCCCCGCCTCTGCAGGAACCCTCACTTTATGTGCCCCTCGGAAGTTACTGAGCGCTGCTCTGTGGTATTTCTGTCTCGTGTCTTCTGAACTTTAACGGTGGATATGTGTGTCTCGTTTCTACATGGAGACTTGATATTCTGACTGGAAGTCCCTGTGTTTGTCCTGTCATAGGCCCTGTATGGCCCAGCACGGAGCTGGGCGAGTGTGGGATGACGATCCCGCCAAAAGCAGCATGTGTGCGTGTGCAGGGGCTTTGTAGAGGGAAACCGTGCCAAGCAGGCGAAGAGCCTGCAGACCAGAGTGGGGTCCAGTGTGCTGTCCGCGGAGCCCGGAACCCCCGGGACCTCTTCCCGAGAACGTGCTGTTCTTAGCGCAGGATGCTGGTGAGCTGCTGACCGCTGGGGACCGGCCACTTCCAGGAAGTCCATAGGGCCGCAAAATGAGCTGCTCCATAATTTGTAAACTTACTGACTTTCGATTCCTGTGACCTCCTGCTTTTCTTCAAATTTTGCTTTTAATCAGTTTTTGACTGATAATTAAAGTTTGTGGCTTAGAAAAAAATGATGTTACAATTAAATGTACCTTAGGAGTGTAACCCTAAATTCTTCAAGAGTTACCTAAGTAAAGGTTACCGGAGAATTCAATTGCTCGGGAGGGTATAGCTCAGCAGGGCAGCGCCTGCCTGGTAGACGGCAAGGCTCTGAGTTTGATTCCCCGTTCCAAAGAAGAAAAGAAAAGAAAAACCAAATGTTTACGTACCTTTCTTACAAACTGAAGGATTTAAAATGTGGTCTGAGGGTTACATGGCCACACTTGTAATCCCAGCTCTGTGAGAGGCCGAGGCAGGAACATTGAAAGTTCAAGCCCAGCCTCAGACTTTGGTATTTTAGTAAGACTCTGCCTCAAAAGCTAATAAAAGCCTTGGTGTGTAGCTTATCGTGAAAGCCCTGGGGTCAGTCCCAGTACCACAAAAAGTAGTCTGAACTGTGTGTGGGGTCTGTGAGTTGAAAGAATTTCTTTTTCCTGGTGCGAGGGCTCAAAGCCCGGCCTCAGGCCTCCTGAACAAGTGGTCTGCCAGGAGCTACATCCCTAGCCCTGAAGGTGCGGGCCCAGTTGGGTGGCCCTGGAGGTGCGGAGCAGTGGTCCAGGAGCCTCTGGCCCAGGCCTTGGTCCGGAGGGAGGGACTGTGCCCCTGAGATGGCCCGCACCCTGGTTCTTTGTGCTCCCTGCGGTTTGGAGTCAGTAAAGTACCATGCCAGAGTGTCCCATTCTCCTCACGGAGTCTCCTTTGTTCTTCAGGAAACACAGCTGTTTTATAAGATGCATTATGTTAATGTGTACTGTTTTGTTGTTTAAAAAGAATAAACATTTTAGCTGGATTCTTTTTTTTTTTGGTACTGGGGATCGAACTCATGACCTTGCACTTGCCAGGCAGGTGCTTATGCCGCTGAGCTAAATCCCTACCCGGAGATCTTTGTTTTAATTTTTGAAAAAGTGAAGTGTCCGGGCTGGAGCTGGAGCTGGAGCTCAGAGGTAGAGCACTTGCTTAGCTTGCATGAGGTTCTGGGTTTGATACCTAGCGTCGCAAAAAAGAAAAAGAGAAAATGTCCTCTAAGGCCAGTCTGGTAGGCACCACAAAGGCTGGCCGTGCCCTTTGTGTTTCTAACCTACAATACACTGAAGTGACTTCCTTTATTTTTTGTTTTGTTTTGTTGTCTTTTGTTTTTTTGGTACTGGGAATGGAACTCATGAGCTCATGCTTGCTAGGCAGGTGCTTATGCCGCTGAGCTAAATTCCCCAGCCTAACTTCCTTTATTTTTGTGTGTGTGTGCTTTGTTTTGTTTTGTTTTGTTTTGTGCTGGGGATGAACCCAGGAATACTTTACCACCAAGCTATGTCTCCAGCCCTTTTTTTGAGGCGGAGACTCACTAAGTTACCAAGGCTGAACTCAGACTTGATAATCCTCCTGCCTCAGCCTCCCAAGTAGGTGGGATGTGCACCACCCCATCGTGGTGCTGGCGCTTTTTGTGTGTATCTTCTTTCTTTTCCTTAAGGGTACTAGTCAGATCTGATTGGAAACCTTACTTAGCCCCACCAAAACAGACCTTCATTTTAATTTGAGCTTCTCTTTACAGCCCATCTGTGGTACTGAGAGAACTTTGACCGGTGAATCCTAACACATGACCTAACGCTGTCCTTGTGTGTTTTGGTGCTCGGATGCAACCCAGAGTCTTGAGCACTCAAGGGCAAAGCTCCACCGCTGAGCTGTACCCTGGACGGCCCTGCTTTCCAGTGGGCATAAGCGAGAAGCTCAGCTGTTCTCCAGCCTTCCTACTGGGGTGGCTGTTCGTGTTCATTTTTTTTGGTGCAAACTTAATAGTAACCAATAGTAACAGCAGTCATAATACACAAGGATTTTTTTCCTAGCCAAATTAGGACTATTAAATATTTAAATTTCAGTTTTCTTTTTGCTCGAAGGGATTAATTCAGCATAGCTGATCTTTCTCTCTCTTTTTTTTTTTTTTGAGACAGGGTCTCACTGTGCAGTTCAGGCTGGCCTTGAGCTCACTTTGTGTAGCCCAGGCTGGTCTCGAACTTGCAGTCATTCTCCTGCTTCAGCCTTCCAAGTGCTGGGATTACAGGTGTGCTCCACCATGTCCAGCTAGAAAATTATTTTAAGAGGAAATAAGTGCTTTCATTTGTTTACCATTATAAATGGGAAGTTGAGTATCACTTGGAAAAAAAAAAAAAGGGTGTGTGTGTATGAATTCGTTTATTTGTTCTTGGTGGTCCTAGAGTTCAAAGCCAAGGCCTCATGCATTCTAGACAAGTACCTTACCACAGAGCTAAAACCCTAAACTCTGCGTTGGTATATTTTGTTTGTTTTGAAGCAGGGTCATGCTGTATAGTTTAAGCTGGCCAGGAACTTACTATGTAGCCCTGGCTGTCCTCAAATTTATAGTCCTCCTCAGTCTCAGCCTTCCTAGTGTTGGGGTAGCAGTGCTGTGTCACCATCTTTTTGTTTTTTGTTTGTTTGCCGCACTGGAGATTGGACCCGCACTGGGCCCTCACGCTGTGCTGCTTCCCCAGCCCGTTTTCTTTTTCTGAGACAGGCTCTGCTAAATTGCTTGGGCTGGGCTCAAGCTTGTGGGCCCCTGCCTCAGTTTTCTAAAGCTCTGGGATTACAGACATGCACCCCGTTCCTTACCTACAAAACCTATTCTTAAAATGTGTCACATGTAAAATGAAGCATGCCATCTACAGTCATTATGCTGGCCATGGTAGCCAGCCTGGACTGCATGGTGAGTTCAAGGCCAATTTAAGTTACGTAATCAGACCCTGTCAAAAAAAAAAAGGAAAAAGGGCATATCGTGAACCATGGATGCCTCTGTCCTTGTTTAGATTGAAACACTGGATGTTCTAGTAGAGTTCTTTTTCTCAAATTCAGAGGCCACCTGAGGGCCAATCCTGTCGGCTCCGCCTCTAAAATCCCCCTTCCTGCCCCTTCTGTGCCCCTCCCAGCCGCCTTTGCTCCCTTGACCTCACATTCTGCACCAAGCCAGCAGAGAGGCTCCATTAACTGACTTCCTCTGCCAGGCTCTGTAACTCCTGCGCACTCAGGAACTGTTGGAGCCTGCGATGTCCTCCTGCTCTCATCAATCTCACGGCCTTCACTGCGTCGGGTCGCTTGCTCTGAGCCAAGTCCTGTCCTTCTTGGGTCTTTTGTCCTCACACCTGTCCACTGGAGCTCGACTTGCCTTGGTCACTGTGTGACATCGTGGCCCCTCCCTCATAGCTGTGCCTGACACCGTGAGCTGTCAAACAGGTGGTTCAGGTGTTTCGTGAGTGCCACTAGAGCATAGCCCCACAAGGGCAGGCACTTGTGTTCGCTGCTTGGTTCTCAGTGCTTAGAAAAGTGCCTGACATAGAGTACGGGGCCGTATTTGCTCCAGTTGTGTTGATCCCGACATGTATCCTGTGCTCTGGGAAACACGGATGCCCTGGGGAAACCTCCCCCGGGCCTGGGTCCCTCTGCGGGACCTGTCTTCACGCCCTGCCTCCCTGAGGGTCTGGCCAGGTAATGCCTCCGCATCGAGGCAGACAGCGTGTAGCTTGTGTGGGTCCCGGCTTTCCTCCAGAGAGGAGCACAGGTGCCAGGGTGAGCAGGGAGGAAGCGGAGAGTGTGGGTTGGGAGAAGGTCCCCGTCCCGCCCTCCCACACCGTGGCCCGGAGGCCCGGATTCCTAGGCTTTTCCTCTCTCCGAGGTTGAGAGTCATCCCAGCGAAGGAGCATAGCCTTAGCCTCAGAAGTGGGTAATAGGGACAAAACAAAAGAAACAGCCGTCCGCTTCCAGGACGCTTTGGTTGGCACTTGGTTTTGGTGGTTTCATCTCACGTAAGTGGACCCAAAGTGATCACTGGAACATGTAAACCGTCCCAGAGTCAGTCCGAGGGCCGGTGGGGTGCTCAGGTTGGTGACCTAGCCCTGGTCACTTCAGGGCTTATTACCTGCTACTGCCTTCTCCTCTGCCAGTGGACACTAGGAGATTGTAGGTGGCACGTTTGAGGTATGACAGCTGTCAGGAATCGTCTGCATGTTGGCATCTGTGTTCCCAGGTAGCAATACTGAGCAGCTAGCTCTAGCTTTGCAAGTCCCCCTGGAGTTGCTAGTATCTTGAATTTCTTTCCATTTATTTTAGGAGTAAAAGTCCCTCGCAATTTCCGACTGTTGGAAGAACTCGAAGAAGGCCAGAAAGGAGTAGGAGATGGCACAGTTAGCTGGGGTCTAGAAGATGACGAAGACATGACACTTACAAGATGGACAGGGATGGTAATTGGGCCTCCAAGAGTAAGCGTCGAGCTACGGCTATAAATGTCAATGTCTTAATTCACTGCGCCTCCTTTTCAAACCTGCTAGCCTTATCACAGAAAAGAGCTCGCCAGTGGTGTATTTTCTGAAATGTGGCTTTCTTTTTTGACCAGTTTCAGTTTGTTTAGTTGAGCCTCTTCTAATGCTGTTTAATCTCTATAAGGTAAGCAAAAACCTGTTTAGACTCAGTGTAAGTGCACAGGGCAGTGTAGACAGGGAGGTTGAGGTCAGCATACTTGCAGGTGTAGTTTCCCACAAACTGCTGAGCTTCTCAGGTGACCAGCCTCCGGAGGTGGCCAGCCTGCCTGAGGCCAGTCCGCAGACGGACTTGGGAAGCCTGCTGGGTTGTGGCTGCTGCTGTGTCCTGTGCCCTAACTCACTGCACAGTTGGTGAAGGTTTTTGCCTGCCTGTCAGCTCTGGTCTGTTCTGGCCACTGATGGCCCCAGAGGCCTTTGCAAGGGAGATGGAGACACAGGGATGGGGAAGTCACCTCTGTAGAGCCTTGTGATTTGCGAGTTCCAGGTCTTCATAATGCCAACCAACCTTTCTTGAGCGTACATAGTAAACCTCAAGCAATCCGATTTCTTTCTCGCAAATTCCTGTTGCACCCGCTCTGTGTAGTTGGGTTGCATTTTACAGATGCAGAAACAGACTCAAAAAAGTGAAGTCACATGCCCAAAGTCACATAGCTGACACCTCCCCAGCCAGCTCTGCCTGCCTCGGGCTGGGCTCCTGCCTGGTGCTGGGCCACACTGTCTCCCTGCTTGCACCATGACCTTTCATTAATTACCAGGGTGTTCAGTGCTACTGTAAGGAGTTGTGGTGTTCAGAATAGACTCCCACAGGTGACAGGTGTCTTACAGCAGCAGTGGTTCTGCCTCAGTGTGGCAGGACCTGCCTGTGCATGGCATGCATCCCTTTGTGCCAGACAGGCCTGTGTCCTCTCATTGCAGCCCTGTCTGGATCAGGCATGAGCCACCGTGTGCTCATTGTTAGGACACCCTGAGGCTTGTCTGAGTTACTGGCATGCATAGCGTGTGACTGGCTTTGCCATTTGATGTTGCTTGCTTGTTGTTTTGAGGTACCATCTTGTTCATAGTTCAGGCTGGCTCTGAGTCCATATGATCCTCCTGCCTCAGCTTACTGAGTGCTGAGATTCAAGGAATTTTACTGTGCCTGTTGTGACCCTGTAATTTTGTAAGAGCTTTTATGTACATTTAATCTGTTTTTCCTCATTTCTTTATCCTATGAAAACCTAACTACTTCTGTATCTGTTACATACTGGGGCAAAGTGATCTAGTAATACTATTTCCCCATGGAGAAGATCTGCTAGCTGTCTAGGAAAGTCTGTTATGTCAGAGAGATTTAGGATTATGGAGGGTGAGAACTGTTCTTCCTCCTCCCTGCTCTCCAGAGTGCCTGGGAGAAATGTGTTAACTTACTAATTTACAGATTGTACAAGTTAAGAATAAAGTAATGTGCAAGTCTTTTTTTTTTTTTTTAAGACAAGGTCTCACTCTGCAGTTCAGAGTTAGGTGGGCGAGGTGTCAAATCAAATTCATGACCTTGCCCTTGCCAGGCAGGTGCTGTGGGCTACACCCCCAGCCCTTGTAGTTCAGATTAACCTTCACTCATTCTGTAGCTCAGTCAGGCTTTGAACTTGTGGCCAGCCTCCTGCCTCGGCCTCCTGAAGGCTGGATTACAAGTGTGTGCCCTCAGAGCTGGCCGATGTGCAATATTTTGAATATAGTAAATACCACCGGATTACATACTTTTCTTTAAAAACCTCAAAGAACCATCAAGTTCTGTTTGGAATATTCTCTTACACCTACAGCAGCAGCGGAGGTTATTCTGAATTTCACTTTATCTTTCCAAAGGGAGATATATTCAGGGGATACTATTTTGTTGTTTTTGTTTTGCCTCTTTTTTTTTGTACCAGGGATCAAACTCTCAACCTCCCACTTGTCAGGCAGGCACTAAGCTGCTGAGCTAAATCCCTGGCCCTTGTTTTGCTTTTTTGGTTTGGTTTTGGTTTCTGTTTGGTTCAGTGTGTTGTTGGGTTTTTTTTGTTTTGTTTTTTGTCTTTTTCATTTTTATCGGTACCGGGGATCGAACTCACAACCGCCTGCTTGCAAGGCAGGTGCTTATGCCGCTGAGCTAAATCCCCAGCCCCCTGTTGTTGGGTGTTTGTTTGTTTTGTTTTGATACAGTCACTGTGTACCAGGCCAACTTTGAACTCACTGTGCGGCCTAGGCTGGCCCTGAGTTCATGACCCTCCTGCCTCAGCCTCCAGAATGCTGGGTGAGAGTGCCCTGCTGCACCCAGTACAGAGGAGCATAAGTTTAATGAATGCCTACAGTGTGCCAGGTTCTTTCTGTACATCTGTTTTAATAAGAGCATTATTGAGATGTTATCCCTGTATTACAGGATGCATCTTTTTTTTACTTTCAGGATGCATCCTGTTTAAGTGTATAACTTGGTGGCTTTTATCGTATGAAGCTGTACAATCGTGGCTATTTTCAGAGCCTTTCACCCTCCCAAAAGCAACCCCTGTCCCCTGGTGTCTCGCTGTCCCTCCCGCCACGCAGTGAGAGCCACGAGTCTGCTTTCAGGCTCCGTGAATTTGCCTCTTCTGGACATTGTGTATAAATGGAATCAGACAGTATTTTATCTGTTGTTTCGGGCTTTATCAGAATTTCTTCAAGATTCAGTCCCATTATAATGGCTCTCAACACATTGTTCTTTTTCTAATTAATATTCCACTGTGTGAATGTACCATATTTTGTTTGTTTATTCACTGGTGAGCTTTGCTTCTTCATTTGTTCATTTATTTGTTGAATCAGGGATTCACTGTGTAGTTCAGGCTGGCCTTGAGCTCACTGTGTAGCACGGACCAGCGACCTAGTCATGGTGTCCCCCTGCCTTGGCCTTCTGAGTGCAGGACACACCTGGCTAGTTGGTAAACATTTTTATTACTTCTGCCTTTTGGCTACTTTGAATAATGCTGCTAGAAACCTTTTTTAGGCTTTTCTGTACATGTATTTTTGAGCTCCTGGATGTACGTCCAGTGTCACTGCTGGGTCCTTTGTTAACTGGTTAACATCCTGAGGAACTGCCAGGCTGGCTTCCAAGCGGTTGTACTGTCTTACGTTTCCACTAGTACTGCATTAGGAGTCTCATTTCTCACATCCACACCAGTGCTGTTTATCTTATTTTTTTTGCCCCTATAGGTTTGAGAGTTTTTTGGGGGGATTGATTTTGTTTTTGTTTTAAACAGAGTTTCATACATAGTTCAGGCTGTCCTTGAACTCACTTTGATTTGGCCTTGAACTGTCAGTGATCCTGTTGTCTCAGCCTCCACAATGCTGGGATTAGAGGTGTGCGGCGCCACACCCGATGCCCCTTGAGTTTTGGTTAGCTTGGTTCTCCAAGGTTAAAATAGTTATAAAACAAACTCCCTGCTTCTAGGTGCTTCCTGTGGCCAAACTATTTGATTTCGGCATACAAAGTACATTCTCTGGAGCTGGATTATCAACGTAATCATTAAAGCATCTAAACAGAGAACCGAACTAACTGACCTTGTTTTACATTGTTTTTCTCAGGAGGAAATCTTACATAAAAATTTAGACTATAATCTAGCCACAGAGCTAGGAATTTACTCTCCAGTTTTTCTTGAACGCATTGCCCAAGGACATTGTACAGATTTATTTCTTGCAGCATGGTCAGTCATAGCAAAATAATGCACATGTGTGTCCTTCTGGGTGCCACCACTGCCCCTTTTTTTCTCTTATAGAAAAGCAAGTCTCTGAGCCTTAGAGCGAAGCTTCCCAGTCTCCTTGCCAAGTCCTGGCGAACGTCTGGCTGCACACAGCACTTAGGTGAGGAGTAGTTCTCCACTCACAGAAGTGCTAATGTAGTTAGGTTGTAGTACAGTTTTCTCCTTTTTCTTTTCCACTGGGTCTGTGCGTGCGTGCGTGCGTGTGTGTGTGTGTGTGTGTGTGTGTGTGTGTGTACCGGGGATCAAACTCATAACCTCACACTTGCCGGGCAGGCACTTAGCTACTGAGCTGTGTCCCTAGCCCTATTTCTGGTTTTGATTTTTGTTTTTCTGATGCCAAGAATTGAACCCACAGCCCTGCACATGATAGGCAAGCCTCTACCACAAGCTACACCCCCAAGCCCTCATCTGTATCCTTGTGTTGGACCTTCCTGTGCATTACGGGATCAGAATTTTGCAGTGTTCTGGCCTCTACTTGCTGGATGGCAATGGCACCCCAGTCCCAATTGTAACAGCCATAGTATCTGCGGAAAACCTGAATTGTCCCCTCCCAGACAGTTGCAAAGCACTGCTCTGCCTCTAGGGCCCCTGGGTGCTTCTCCGCGTGCTTTCAAGGACCAGCAGCAGGTCCCAGTGTGTAGATAGAAGGGAAGGTGCCCCGAGACCCAGGTCAGGAGGCTTCTTACAGAAGGGCAACCACCAAGTCCTAATGCCCTAAGTTTCTGTCTACTTTTGCTCAGGGTACACAGACATACATGCCTAATGCTTTTATTTTGCAGTGTGTGTTTTGCAACTTGGTTATCTTCACTTTCTGATGCAGTAGTGAGTATCTTTTTATCCATGCCTACTCTGTTCCTCAGAAAGGCACAGGCTTGCTCACCTGTAATCCCAGTGATTTGAGAGGCTCAGGAATGAGATTCTTCAAGTTTGAGGCCAGTCTGGACGACTTGAGATCCTTTCTCAAAGTAAAGTTTAATACCAGGCATAGCGGTGCCTGCCTCTAACCCGAACACTTGAGGCTGATGAAGCCTGGGTGTGCAGGGCCAGCTGGGGCTACATAGTGAGCTGAAGGCCAGTATGAACCACACAGCGAGTCCCCGTCTCAAAACCCAAAGCAAAATTGAAATGGGGGCTGGAGATACAGCTCGGTAGTAGAGCACTTACCTAGATGGGTTCAGTCCC